AAAAAAAACCCCAACTGCTTTTAGCACAGAATGAAAGCTACTGGAGTATGGTTCATTCTCTTCTCCATAAAAATGTTTTGCTTAATGCACATAAATACATTCCAGACCTGTTCATGTTGACTGAATCCCCAAAGTTCAGATTTTTTTTCTTGACCGCTCCAAAGGAGTGAGTTACCAAGTATTTAAAGTCCGCCGGAGTTTACTTTTGTTACCAATATACCCGTATGTTTGAATCGTACTCGGTATTGTGTTGCTGCAATCTAACGGTCAGCCAGCCACCACAAGATGAGACAAGAAGCTTTGATTCAGTGCCTGCGGTGCGGTTAAAGTCTGGGACTGCTAGGTGTAATACTTTAACCTAGTTCGGTGATCTGCAGCCATTAAGTGCATCTTGTTACTGAACGTCATGGACCAGAGAGATTTGTCTTATATTCTGCTTTGTGCTTCCTTTCTGCAGATTGGCTTCAAAAGCATGTATTATTTTTATTAAATACTTAATTCTAGATTTCAGTGTTGTGGCGTATTGTTGTCTACAGATCTGTAGACAAATCTGTTGTCTACCCTTCTGTTCAGGCAGGTGGAATATGATTTGTGGTATCAGATAATTTGCTCAGCAGCTCTGGTATCCAGCTGTATTCGGTGGCCAGGGAGAGGCAGCCTTTGTAGGGAATTCAGGACGAGATGGGCTTTGTGTTTGTCTCGATGTACGACTTCCAGTATTTATTTCTATCTCTGAAAAAAATCTGAATGATTGAAATACCTAAATAAAGGCATGGGTAGGTTTTTAAAGTTTACTTTGAGCTACAATGTAATGATTATTTTTTTTGTTAGTTTTTGCTGTCAGAGTGTCTCAAAGTGGTGTTTTCAGAGTCTGTAGTTTTATAACAGTACCCTTTCTTATTTCACCCTTGCCCACCCTTAAATAACATTGGCCTCTTTTCTTGTGGCTCCTTCATATGTGCCTATTCATGTGCCTTCGTTCCTGTTCCAAGGCAATGCCCTCCTATTTTGTAATCCCTTTTGCAATCCTTCCTTTGGATTCCCTCCAAATTACCCACTTCTATATATAGAGAGAGGTGAGCCGCATGGGTCTGGAGAGGAAATTGTGCTCGTGAGATAGCAGATGTAGAGATGAGTTTCAGACACAGGAATGCAAGGGGGAGCAGGGCCAAAGAGTGCCGCACGTAAGGATCTGTCAGGCCAGCCTTGCTATATGGAGCAGAAAGCCGGACCACCAGAGATCGGGGGTTTTAATGAGCTCGGCTCTACTCGGGACCAATGACAGGACATCAGTGAATGGAAACACCAGGAGATCAGGGGACAAAAGTAGCATCAGAGGTGTGACAGCGAGATTTAAGCGGTTTGGACATTCAATGAGGATAGCAGAAATTGGAGGAACGGAAAGGTTTGGACACTGGGATAGAGAAGGAACAACCAGAAAGCCAGCCAAGGTCGCTGTGCCACAGGAGCGTGCGTGGGGTTTCGTCCGCGATCCTCTGATCTCATCGCACCCGCCGAGCAAAACACTGGGAAGTTCGGTGGTTCTGTGGGATTGGGAGAGGCTTGTGCTGCAAAATCTTGCCAAATGGACTAAGGGTAGATGAGGAGAGCTTTTATGGGTGGCCTCCTTTGGACTTCTGGAATAATGATTTTGCTTGGTGTTATTTCAGAAGCTGAAATTAGAGATGAAAAAATGCTGCCGAAATAGCCACTAAATAGCATGAATGCAGATTCACAGAGAAAGTCTAATACATTATTGCCACAAAAGACACTTTTTAAGCAGAGGGCACATAAAGCAGAGCGAATGTATCTCCCCTCCCCGCCCCAGGCTTTCCCACAGCCGGACCCCGGGAGGGGTTATCGCCCTCAGCCAGCGCTGAGCCACAAAACCCTTTTGCATCCTCTTCTCAGGTGTGTGTCCTGCTCCGGCAGTGGGAAGTTCTCCTGGGAAAAGCCTGCAAGATCAGGCTCAGGATTTGCGTTAATTCATAACTGTAACATAATCTGACGCTTCAAGATGTAACCTGTTCATCGCAGGGGCTAGAAGAGGGTTTTGCCTTCTGCATAGAGCAGCGTGTGACTTGCTGGGTGAAATTCCTCCTTTCGGACTCTTTCTTCTTACTGACCTTGAAACTAGGCAAGTCATTTCTACTTTTGACTGTTATGCTCAGTCTTTTCTTGGCTCAGCTTTGTCTCCTCTTGCCAGGAGATGTTTTACCTGTAGCACCAGCCACCCTGGCCCTTGCAGAGGGCAATAAGCAAACGTCAGCCCTGCCCAGGTGGGAGGACAGCATTGCTGCACAAGTCCTGGGTTTACTTTATTGTTTGGTTGCAGGTAGATAACTCTCTGGAGCTGTTATTTCCCCATGTTTCAGAGATGATATTACAGTGCTGACAAGTTTACACTGAAGCACACTGATATTTGTCTGCTGGTGCAAAAGAGTCAAATAGTGTAAGTGCTAAGCAAGCTTTCTTTTTTTTTAAATTAAAAAAAAAAAAAAAACCTCTCTGAAAAACCAAAAGCAGGATAAAAAGCCGGTTCTGGAAATCTCATAACCAGCGTTCTTCCAAACCCCTTTGAAGTTGGCGTTGGACAGTCGCCAGGCTCAGGCTTGTTGCCTCTTCCAGGGTTTTGCTTTCTGTCCCCCTGCCCGTCTGCAGAGGACCTGCTGGCTGCGGGCAGGACTCTCCTTCTGCTCCTGTGCTAGGAAAAAAACCTTCACTGCAAAAGAGGTTGTTCAGAGTCTGAAGTTCAGCCTTATACTGCGTTCTTAGGCGCTTCTGCCATGTGCAGGACAACGTGAATTTAAGAAGGAGTGATGGCTTCCAGCCTAGATCCCGAGGCCATTTCTTTTCTTACTGGTGTTGCAACCTTTACATCATCTAAAAGAACAGGTTTTGTGTTTCATATGCCCAAAGGCTGCCCGTAAGGGTTGGCAAGGGCAGTTGGTTAAGTCTGCACAAGGTCAGGCAGGATGTCTAATAATTGTCCTAACACTTTACCTGTTATGGAACAATAATGAGAGTTTTTTCATTATTTTCGGGTGAGTGAACCTGGCAGATGCTGACAGCCAGCAGATGTGTAAAGTTCGAGGTGATTTGTAAGGGACCGGCTCATCTGACGCACGGTAATTGCATTGTGGGACATTGTCACTCAGCGTCGTCACCTGACGAGGTAAAGGTCAGTTCAAAGAGCTGGCGTAGCGTGAGGGGCAGCTCGGGGCTGAAATTAAAAACCTCATTTCCATCCCTCCCATATACGTGTGCTCATGGCATGCCCGGAGCCGGGTGGGTGCCCTGGTTCTAGATTTAGGAATTGTTTGGGTGACTGAGCCGTTGTTTCGGTCTGGAGTGGGTTTAAATGCCTCCTCTGCTAAGGCTTAGCAAAAGTCTCCTCACCCACCTGTTGGTGCCTGTGTTCGGTGCTCATCTGTCCGCTTATAATTTGGGGCTTGGAAGTTTCATCTGTGACTTGTTCCTTTGCTTTAGTGCTTGCGTTCCATGGCAGCTCCCCGGGCAGCCGGTGCAATTGGACTTTTCATTTGCTCCCTGCTGCCCTGCACGCTCCGCCGTCCCCTCGGAGAGGGGCTCCGAGAAGTTTCTTTTGCTGCAGAGGTGCTTTTAGCCGAGTTTGCTGTTTGTGACACCCCAGAAGGTCAGAAGCCGCTCCCCCTTCACGCCTAGCTCCCCGTGCGCAGGTGAAGTTCAAGCTCCCCCGTTCCTGCCCGTGGGCATTAGGAGTGGTGCGAGCAGCCCTGTTGGAAACGGGGCGGGTTTGTCTGACGACGAGCCTGCTGGCGGCCCCGAATGGGGAGCGAGAGGTGGCCTCGGGACGTCTGCAGCTACCTGGGCCGTGCAGAGTCCCCGCGGCGTGGAGCGCAGTGCTGCCTGTCTGTGTGCTCTCATCGGGGTTGATTTCTGGTGCTTCTGGGATCTGACTGGGATCTTTATCACGGCCGCGACGCATGGAAGTCAGCTGCAGCCCTGACTGACCGGGTTTCCTGGGTATGCCTGCGCTTCTGTAGTACAGACGCTGATAAATCCGTAATATGCCGGACATCTCGATCAAATGTGTCTTGTGTATTTCATCCGCTGTCGCCTCATTCTTCTGTACGTGCGGGCATCTAATCCCTTGCTCTTTATCTCATAAGGCATCACATTACAAATTTTGTTCTTTATTCTTCTTCTAACATCCCCACGGTTGCTGGCATTAGAAATTGCAGTAACTTGCTCTGCACGTGCTTCTTAAAATGTGAACGCTGGTGGCTGGGTCAGCTCAGTAGCTCAAGGTCTCCCGTTAAGCTCAGCAGCACTGCCCAGTGCAATATCGGCTCGCTGTGCAGAGCATCGTGCCTCCGTCAGGCAGAGACCTTCAAGCCGTCTCTTTTAGTTCCTCCCTGTGCCAAACCCAACCATAAAAACTGGAGAAGAGTTTTGCAGTAAACACGAGTGGAGCCAGGATTTCCTCCCTGTGCCAAACCCGACCATAAAAACTGGAGAAGAGTTTTGCTGTAAACATGAGTGGAGCCAGGATTTCCTCCCGTGGAGGACTGTTGTTAAAAGCTCCCGCTGGTTATTTAAGCTCTGAGTTAATACTTGTTCACCAATGCCTGCTGGCCTGCAGGCTCTGCTCACGGTCCCCGTGCTGGGCATCGAGGGATGGATTTGTCCCGGTGTGTATAATCACACACGTACCAGTGTATCGTACGAGGATTTGGTGGAGAGCTGGCAGAGGGTCTTTTTGGAGAAGTTAACTTTGAAGGAAAAGGTGGCTTTTCATTGAAAAGGTATTTTTTGTAGAAATAAGTCTTCTCTGGAGTTCTTGATGGTTTTTCTTTTGTTTGGCATTCCGGGATATTTTTGAGAGTCCTTTTCATGTGTCACCAGAGGACTCCCGTTTTCAGACCAGCTTGGCCCAGCTCCTCGCAGACCTCACCTGACACTAAGCACTTACTGAGGTGGTAATTGCTGCTGGCCATGAAGGCGCGAAGCAGTCCGGGATGCGTGCAGGCTGCTTCTGCTCGGTCAGGCCTTTCAGAAGTTTAGCTCTGTTTTTAATCTAAAATTCTGAGAAAGAAGTTAAATTTATAGTGTAGGAAAACTGAATCTCTGCTTTCACCAAGCTGACCGTGAGTGTTTGTCTGCGCAAGTAGACAGTTAGTGTTGTTCCTGCATTCATTTTGCTGACCTTTAGGAAGAGAAAGAATAGATTCTTATTCAACAAAAGTCTGCTTCCAGGCGGTCATGAATCACAGGATTTTTTCCCTAAGAGTATGCAGATAGGCTTTGCATTCAGAGTAAAATTTTTTTAACCGCGGCGCACTCTGTTAAAGTTTGTTATGTATCCAAATTACACTGCTTTGCTTTTTAACTAGAGCTGAAACCGTGTTTCGAATAACAGATGTGGAATACTGTCATCCCACTGTCACACCAATTGTTCATTGTTCTGAGAAGGTCACATCATAATTCATTAACAATAATTATTCCCTGGGTACACCCTGCACTTCTTCACTCAATTGCTTCATTAACTTGCGAGTGAATCTCACATTCACTGCTCCAATCAATGAAGATATATTTATAATGTACAAGTGGATGCTATTAGTTACAATATATTAACTGCCTAATTTAAAATAGAAAAGCTATCTTTATGAAGGGCAATTAACCACTAAGTGTAATTGATAATTCACATACCTATGATTAGGAAAGACAAATAATAAGAAAGAAATGAATCACCCGCGTTATTGAAGACGACACTGGCATGCAGTTTTAACAAGCGGAAGGGGCTCTCTGGGTCAGGATTGGATTTCTAAGAATCCTTTGATGGAAAAGTTCGTCATCGGATGCGTTACCTCAAGGTGGTTTCGGTGTTTACACCAAGCAATTGGGATCATCTTCCCTAGAAAAGGAACCCATGGCATTTTGTTGTCGTGAGAATCAGTGCAGGGGCTTTCCTAATAGAAAAGTCCTTTTTCATTTTAACACAAAGAAAAGTAATAATGTTTCAATAATAATTTATAAGCCTAGCCTCTAACTTACCTAGGTATCTAAACCCATATTAGCTCAGATCCTCAAAGACGAGATACAAATTCACAGTAAAACTGACAAAAGTTTGGCATTTTAATATGTTTGGGGACCTGAGTGACAGTCCCTTTGGCAAATACCTGAAAAAAAATGGTGATACATTTTCAATGCTTCCGATTTTCCATGGCCACTATAGAATACGTTGGTTTTCCAAAAGGCTGGCAGCTCACCCTTGGCAAAGAGGCCTTTTTGTGACATCCCCAGTAGGCCACCACAGCTTGGGTCAGGAAACAAAGTCGCTCGGAGGCAGAGGACTTGCACGAGATTGCGGAGTGCCGCTCCACGGGAATTGTGTCCTTGGCTCTGGGCACTTGGGGCCATGTTTGCTTCCCTTGAGAAGCCATTTACCTGTAAACATTTATTAATGAATCAGTTGAAGTGCCGTATTTTTCAGGCTTACCCACCAAGTAACAGCACAGGTGTTTTATGAGAGATTAAATGATAAATGTAACTGAAGCCACCCCAGTGTTGATCTAAGCATCATTGCAACTCGCTGGCCTCTTACCTGGCGTCTGCAGAAGTGCAAAGCCTCGCTGTTACCTCCAGCAGATCACTGCAGTGGGTGATCAGTAAGTGGAAAGGTGAAAATCCAAGTTAAAACGCTAATAGCCAGTGGCATCGCGTCAGCCATGTGCTCACGGCTGTGCAGTGCCTTCAGTTCCCATGTGTCTACATCTACAGACTGCTTTAAAGAAAATGAACTGGATTTTGGGGGGGTTTGGTGCGTGGAGGGAGCGTGTGCCTGACAGACTGTGGTATCCTGGGGATGGTGGGCATCGCCTGTGCTGCCATGTTCAGCTTAGCTCTCTGCTCCAGAAGGGCAGTTACATGCAAGGGCCCCGCACACGAAAACTGCGTCTGTAGTGCCCAGAATTGATATATTTTAGGCATGTCTTGGTCACGGTAAGGGTTCCTGCTCCTGTTCTGGCATTTCCTCTTTGCATTTTCATGGTAATTTTCTAAGCTAGGTGTGGGACAGCAAAGCTGGTACTCTTAGCTCCTTTTCTATGTCTGGTTGACCCCTCTGCTGCTTTTACTCCACAGGATCAAAGCCTCTGGTCTGAAGCTGCGGTTCTGCACTAACGAAACCCAAGCGACCAGGGAGAATTTCGTGAAGAAGCTGCAGGGCATGGGCTTTGACATCTCCGTGGCCGAAGTCACTGCCCCAGCACCAGCAGCCTGCCGCATCTTGAAGGAGCGCAGCCTGAGGCCGCACTTGCTCGTGCACAACGGTGGGACGATGCTGCAGCAGATCCTGGGACACGTACGGGGACACCCCAGAGAGATGTGGGCGTTTGAGATAGAGCAGTGAATTCCCATAGCTCATAGGGGGAAGAGCTCCCAGCTCTTTTCCTACAGGGAAAAGCTGTTTCCTTAGCCATGAGACTCTGGAACGAACCTTAGTGGTGTGGCCTGAGCGAGGTCTCGGTTATGGCAGCGCCACAGTGAAGGCACAGAGCTGTGCTGGGAGTCAGCAAGTGCACAGAGGAGTCTGCTGCTTAACCGCAGAAGCTAGGAGATAGGTGAGGTCTTGTGCAGGGCACTACGTTGTATTTGTTATCATGGCAGAGGTTTTAAGTTTAAAGTGTTTTCTTCTGTAGAGTGTGGTTACAGAGAAAGCAGGTGGATCCTGCCCTTGCTATTATACATTTTAATTCAACTACCCAGGAGTTTGCCTCGGGTCTAGGTGACTGGATATAATGAGGTGAGATATAATTGAGATGTGGGTGGCAGGAGCCAAGTAGGAAATGGTTTATTTTGCTCTTTCTTGTAGGACAGGTGAATAGCAGGATCCAGACAGGGATAGAAGGGGTCTGAAGAACAGTCAATTCAGATTTCGATTTTTATTTTTTTTGGGGGGTGGGGAAATGAATGAAGGGAAACAAATCTGGGGAAAACCATCAGTTCCAATGGGGTCTCAAATGATAAGGGATTTGTGGATTTTATTAATTTTTTTTTTTTCCTCCTTCTGTAGATCTTGTCCCTGAATTTGCTGAGATCGATAAAGCAAACCCAAACTGCGTGGTTATTGGAGATGCAGCAGAAAACTTCACCTATGCAAACCTTAATGAAGCTTTCCGAGTTCTGATTGGGATGGAGAAGCCTGTTTTGATCTCCCTTGGAAGGGGGTGAGTTAAGCACTGTTTTGTCCTCTAGTCTCTATATTTTTTAGTTTTGCCCGGTATCTTTGTACTTAAGGGAGGCCAGATATCAGTGTGGGCATCCACACTACCAACTTCTAAGCAGTTAATCTCTCTGTCTGGACTGGGAGGCTGATCTGCTCAGGTATCTGTCAATGAAGGAACCTCAGTGGGTAATTCAGTCGCCTGATTTGGCCTCCTGTCCTGAGTCAATTAGGTGTAGTCTTTCCAGGGGTGTAAGAGAAGTGATTACACTGAAATAGGTCTCTAAAAGGAGGTGGTATGGATGCTCCCCATGAGCCACAGTTCAGCCCTGTGCTGATGTAGGTTTGCAAAGGGCACTGGCAGTCACTGAACTTGCCATGCTGAGTCCTCCAGTTGACTTTGAAAATACTCATCCGTGGGGTCTCTGTGCTGCTACAGCACTGGGTGAGGCATCTCTTGAAGCTCAGCTGCTGGTGGTCTTTTTTCTGTAGTTAGCGCAGACTAAGCAGTTGTGTGGATGTGTTTCGTAGAGTTCTAGAGGGTGAGAGAGAGAGCTGCTCCTCTGAGGAGGACCTGTAGCAGCCTTTAGAGAACCCGGAGATGCCATGGTTTATAGGCACAGCAAACGCCAGCCTCCAACCCTTCAAAGTCAGCGTTCAAGAGTGAGTTAGACCTTGATGAAACAATCCACAGGCCTGCAGGTGGCAGTGGGAGGATTAAATAGCAGTAGTTTTGTAAGCCACCAGGAGAGGGGCTTTTGTTGCTTTAAGAGCAAGTCTGAGAGCCTCTTAAAAAACTCATAGAAATCATGGAGAGTTTGGATTTTGATGTGTGTGACCCTGGACTGAATGAGTATTGCAAGAAGCCAATAGGATTATAGGCACTGCTTGTCTTTTTGTCTTTGCCCCTGCAAGATCTCAGAGATGAGAACTGTTGGTTTAACTGCTGCCTGTAGCCATGTGTTCTGGTCTGAACTGAAAATAAATTATTTTTAATAGTGAAAGAAACCCCAAACAAACAAAAAAAATCCATCAGGCCGTGCTTGGATAAAGGCTTGTTGCTGTGGATTTGTGATGCAGTTTTATCTTCCAGAGTCCTGAAGTTGCTAACGGTGAGGAGGATCAGGTGGTCCAAAAATTCTCTGTTTCAGCCAAGGGTCAGCCAGGTTTCTTCTTCCAGGTTCGAATCCTGCCCACATGTGTGGTCATCGAGATGTGCTAATGACCTGTGTGATGTAAAGGACTCCTTGCTATTTGAGTGGTACTTACAGATGCCGTCTCTGAAAGTGGGCGTTAGCATCTCTGCAGGTTGATTCATATGTATGAAAATGTCATACATAAAGGGAGCGCTTTTGTGCTGGTGACTTGAGAATTGCTGTACATGAGGAACAAGAAGCCAGGAGAGTTTTTCTTTGCTAATACAGAAACCCTACCAATTTATGAAAGTAGCTGCAATGCGCAAACTCCACCCAAACTATGTTGGAGATGGGGGTAGATGTCCCTCTGGCTGTGGGTGAAGTGTGGTGGCCGAGAAGACCTAAGGGGAGAGCCCAGAAATGGCTGGGAGGGTGTGTATGGTGAACACCTGCAAACACAACTGTGCTTTTGAAGTGACAGATCAATTGCTTTGATAGTTTGAATATCAAAAGACATTTTTAATTACTCTCTGAACGTGAAAGGTAAATTTTGACCTCCTGCTTTCACATGCAGGAGAAATCTATTCAGGGAATTTGAATGTTTTCCTAAAAACAATTCAGTTAGATGTATTCTGAGATTTTAAACAGGAGGTTATTAATGCCAGTGCTGATTAATGACAAATCCCAAAAGTCTTGAAGGAGTTATTGTTATCTGTTGTGTGATGTATGGGCTTAAAAAAGACCATGTGTGTTTAGCTTGAGGAAACTATAGTGACAACTTTTTTCAGTGGTTCAATGGACCATAATGGGCATGAAAACCCTTCTTAGTTTGTGGGTTATTGATCCAGCTGCGTAGAACTTATCATGGGAAGGAGCAGTTAAGTGCCGCCTTACCTGACGCTCACACTCTGATCCCACAACACGGGCAAAAAATCCTTTCTATTTCTCAGTTAGAAGGATAGGGGGAAAATGTTGAGCCAACAGCAGAATGGCTAAGTACATAAAATAACCATGTTTTGTGTTGTATAATAGCATTGTTCAAAGTGAAATATAGAATCAATCTTTGTTGAAGATTGACAATGTGATCAATGCAAAAATGCCTTTGTACCCTCTGCATATAAAAGTTTATTTATTTGGTCATGCAATGATGTAGACAGCTCTAAAATAGACCCACTGTTACTTTTTTGAAATTGTATTTTTCCTTTTAAAAGAGAGATTTTCAGATACTTTGAGCTCAGTTTTCACCATGAGCGTATTTCTTTTAATGATTCATCATTTAGGCAATCTGAATGCGAGTTCTGAATTAGTTACGCTGGCAGGTAAATTCTCTGACTCAAAGAAGGGAGATTATAAATTGGATTAATTGTTTACCTAACTAGAGAAGCCCCTTTGATGGAAAAGGCCATGCACAAAAACCAGCCACAAGGCAGCTTCGTTTTTAACATGTAGAATCAGTATAATTGGGTGGTCCTTAACAAGGTGCCCACCTTGGGCAAGTAGGTTGATTTTTGGTTGAAGTTTCAGTTCATTCCATAGAAAATGAAAGTGTCAGAGCCACTGAAGCAGAATGCCCTCCTCCTGAAAATTGAGTGATTTACATTTAGCATCTGTTTTGGGCTGAGAGTGGGAATTGGCTTTGTAATTTCTTCTGTCATGCCACTGTCAGAAAATTAAGCTGTTTACGCTAGACTATAGAAGGTTAATGGCTGTTCTAGCAAAGGTCAAGTGGTCATTTTGAAGGGAGGCTGTGCTGAACAATCGAAAATGGCAGAAGGATAAGGCATAAAATCTTAACTGACTGCTCATCCTACCTTTTTTCTCTGTCATATAGAAACCTGTCTTTGCTCTGATCAGGAGAGCTTGGAAGACCTGCCTTAATGTGAATTCCTATTCCAGGAAAACACCGTAACGATACTGATTAATTTTATGAGCTTCATGGCAACAGGAACGTTCTTAGAAGTAACAAACTTTAGCTTGGAGGGCTTTCTTAGTCCCAGTAAACAGTGCCCTGTCTTTCCTTGTGTGGGAGGCTGGTGGCAAGCAATGATGGTCAACTGTTTGGGGTCCCCTTCCAGCTCTACTGAAGAAGGTGTTACAACCACTGGTTGGTGCCAGCCCTCATCTTGCATCTGCTAAGGGGTCTCCGTTGCTGATTAAAGGAAGAGCAGCGTAACTGCTGTCCTTCGTGAGCAACTAGTACTCTGTGCAATATAACACGGGCCAAGTTCATCCTCGATATAAGCTAGTTGAAATCCCTTTGAACCAGTGGAGTCGTGTCCCAGATGCCAGATGGACATCCAGCCTGAGATCTTTTCCCCAAGCACTGCATGGTACTGAGCCTGTCCTTTACTTAATTCCTGGTGTTAAATTAAGGCTCCAGAGTTTCTGATGACTTGACTTTTTGTTGCAGCCATATGGACATCTATATAGGCACAGAAATAATAAAATGTGGTTTCTTTGTATTTAACTGCCAACATTTTCATTTCATTGGAACTTTATCACTTTCATTTCCAGACGCTACTATAAAGAAACCGATGGTCTGAAACTTGATGTTGGAGCATATATGAAGGCATTAGAGGTATTTTATAGCTTGCATTATGCTTACTCGCTCTGTGCACCTTGTTAAAAGAGTAACTGGCATAAACATGGGTCATCTTCTGTAATTACTCACCTTGGTGGAGGAAGTTTCCACAGACTGAAACTCATTTGCTGCATTCTAAAGACGGGTGGATTCATTTGTTTTCTGGCTTCATTCATTTTAACAATTTTATTTAAAATGTGAACTTTTACCATTGTGGTACCTTTATTGGAAGTCAGGCCCTTGAAAGAAGGAGTCAGAAAAGAAAAACATGGAATATTGTCTGTAAGATACCCAAGAGAAACTGAAGGTCTGTTTTATGTTTGGTGTAGCTTTGTTAACACAGCCCTTGCCCTTAACAGTTTACAGCAAAAGGCCTTTATTCCGCAAGATACTGAAGTGCAGTCCTGTTTTTCAGCCTGATTAAGTCTATGCAGAACTGGAACCCAACAGATAAGCCAACCTAAGGGTGAGAGAAGGAGAGAATCACTATTCTGCCTTTTACAGGCTTGCAGAGAGATTATAAAAAATATATAGTAAATGCAGAGAATAAAGCAAAGTAGGGTAGTATACAAGCACAGAAGATAGTGGATATAATGTATGCTTGCAGCACATTCATTTATATCTATTGGGGTTTGTGGAGAGTTTTTGCCTCCCAGGTAAGGTCAGGCTTCTAGTTGTCTAGGAACAATCTAGAAACACCTTTGTCAGCATAGTACTGATATTTAGATGCAGGAAAAGAAAACTTTTTACATCCAGCTGGTCACTTGAATCGTTAAAAATATGCCAGGTCGTTGAAAAAACCCTCTACATCTTTTAAGGTCCTCCAGTGCTTTTCATCATTTCATATGAAGGATGTTTGCTATTTCTTTAAGAGTGATGCTGTTACAAAAGGGAGTGATAGTGGGACTGAAGTCTGCTCTCATGATGGAGAGTGTAACAGGTTTGTAACCTCAGATGTTTCAGGAGGACGATCCTGCCAGAGAATGTTAAACATTTCTGTTATCCAAATTCTCCAGTATTCACCATCACCTGCTAATCTGTTCTGTTATTTAAGGGCAAAAATCAGTAATCATATACTTTTTATACAATTGACTGGAGTTATGGAGTTGAAAAAAGCCTTTCTTGATCAGCATTTTTGGTGTGTCCTTCTCTCTCTTCTTTTATTCCAGTATGCTTGTGATGTTCAAGCTGAGGTAGTGGGGAAACCAGCAGAAAAGTTTTTTGAGTCAGCCTTAGCAGAAATGGGAGTTCCAGCACAGCAGGTAAGGTTTCTGATGCTGTGACCAGTGGCTGTGCCATGTGGTTATGCTCACTGATGCTTTTTTGCTTTTTTTTTTTTTTTTCGCTTTGCTGTCTTTCATGGAAAATTACAGAAGAAGTTGAAGGGAATGTGGCCTGGAGGAGAGGGTAACTTTGAGTGGATCTATAAATATTTTTTTCCAGACCCAGTGTGTTATATATGGTGCAAAGAAATATTTATATTCAGGATCTTCCTACGAATTATTAAAAAAAAAAATTGTTGAAAAAATGTTTCAGAAGGAAAAACTGCTGTTTACCCATTCTGTGAAATAATGTGAAGTAGCCAAAAGAGCACTGACAGCCAAGGAGGTAAATCCTAGCAAGTAGGGACCTGCTGAATTTCTTCTGCCCTGTGTGTACTTGTTACCCTCCTGAAAGGTGTGACATTATTTTCTCTCCTTTTGTGCCATTTGGTTTTTCTCCCTGATGCTTTTTTTCTTTTTTTTTTTTTTTTTCCGCTTTGCTGTCTTTCATGGAAAATTACAGAAGAAGTTGAAGGGAATGTGGCCTGGAGGAGAGGGTAACTTTGAGTGGATCTATAAATATTTTTTTCCAGACCCAGTGTGTTATATATGGTGCAAAGAAATATTTATATTCAGGATCTTCCTACGAATTATTAAAAAAAAAAATTGTTGAAAAAATGTTTCAGAAGGAAAAACTGCTGTTTACCCATTCTGTGAAATAATGTGAAGTAGCCAAAAGAGCACTGACAGCCAAGGAGGTAAATCCTAGCAAGTAGGGACCTGCTGAATTTCTTCTGCCCTGTGTGTACTTGTTACCCTCCTGAAAGGTGTGACATTATTTTCTCTCCTTTTTGATGGTTCTTTTTGACTGCCTGCTATTTCCCTTTTCATTCCTATGTGTCTCTCTTTGCTCTGACTTATGCCATCCATACCTCTACCCAATTTAGAGTCTTCCATCCCTCCCTCCCTCTCTTCCTCCCTCCATTCTCTGCTGTGGTTCCTCCTTCTGGTTGTACTGTTGTGTTGTGCTTTCTTATTTACCTTCCTCCTAAACCATATAGTTCAAAAGAACATGCACTGCTATTGTGAAATTCCTTTATTTGGAGGCTAAAGAAAACAATGCAAAAGAATAAAAGTTAGTTTTCCCAAGGAATTATGGAAGATGTTGTGCCTTGCAAGGTGAGAGGTGCCCCAATGCCTGGCAGTACGCTTGGTGGCTGGAGGCTGCAGCATGGTGGAACTGCAGCCAAAATGTTATTTATTTCCTTTGCTGCCACACTGACTACCTTTTTTTAGTAAAAGGGAAAGGCAGAAGTAAAGCAATTTCTAATTTAGGTGAACGGGAAATGCTGCCTGACCCAAAACCTCCTCCCATGTTATTGGATTCATCACGCTTTCCAGAAACAGGCTGAACGACTGATGCTCCCTGCTTGCTTAGTACAGCCCATTTTTTCCCCTCTCTGTAGTTGTGCCCAGATCCTTTTTATTGATTTGTTGTTATGTCACATAGGACATAAGGATGAGTATGAGATGACTCGCAGACAGCAGTGAATTACAGCGTAATAATTCCATCAGGGAGTTTTGGTGACATTATAAACAACGGGAGTGAAGTTTGGGTGGCTTGTAGGTCCCTAGAGCCTGCAGATGAAATTATGGCCCTGTAATTCAGTATGTGCTTGGGTTTTTACTTTATTATAGAGTGGGGAGATGGAAAAGACCTAGTAGGCCATCTAATCCATCTCCTTCCCCATGCAGGAGTGTTCCCTGCTTCACGTTTATTAATGTTTTGTCCAGACTAGTTTTCAGTGAGCCAAACAACTGGGCTTCTGTAAGTACCCTAGGGACAAGTGTTCACAGCCGAGTAGGTCTCGTGGGCAGGCCCCTTTTTCTGAGATTCATCGGGATGCTTGCCTTTTAAACTGCATCTCCTTATTTCAAGTTTTAGTCCAGGTAAAATAACTGCTTGCGTTCTTGGATATTTTCTCCCTCCAATTACCTCCAGATTTGTTATCATTACAGTAGTTGTCTCTAACTAAAACTGTGTGTTTAGCTCTCAGCAGCTTTCCTTCTGATTCGGTCTCTCTGTACCCCAACGCACTGTGGTGCCCTTTTCTGTTCTCCCTTCAGTTTGTCGATATCTTCCCAGTAACAAGGTAGCTCAGCCTGAACGTAATATCCCAGGTACAGCCATGGCAATTATTCAATCCATTCATCCAGCCAACAAACTCAAAAATCCATTTGAGACACAGAGTGGCATTTGAAGAAAAAGTAGCTGGAAAGAAGGACAAAGGGAAAAAAAAAAAACCCACAGAGCTCAGCCCTTGGATACTGTTCATCTAAATTAGATGCATGAAGGTTTGTGTTTCCTTTCTGCTTGTATCAGAAATGATTGGTGTGTAGCGGTAGGAGGGAGGAGGGGTTTGGTTTTTTTTTTTTTATCCTTGTGGCCCTGCTAGTGGCATTGCTTGCCCTTTTCCATAGGCAGGATGGTGCGGTTCTCCTCAGATGCTGTTTTGCCCAGCTGTGGTACGCTGAGACCGAGTCAGGCCCTGGCACCGCGGGAGGGTACCGTTACAGGCATGTGACAGGACAGCAGAACTCCCGTCTTAAAAACTTTGTTCCAGGGAACAAAATCTGGTAAAATGCATCATCAGGCTGGCAAAAATGGTCCCATAGGGCGAGTGCTTGCCATCGACTACAGGTGGATTTGGATACAGAAAAGCAGCAATAGTCCCCAGCAGAGACTTCTATTTATTCACTCTCTGCTATTTGCCAGATATTTGTAGTGCTATGAGTGACTAACTTTATATTTTGACACAATTTTTTTTTTTCTGTATAGTGTCTAGTGTTAAGTGCCATCAGTTTGTTGTAGTCTTATGTCTAGTCTGTAGGTGTGATTTTTTGTATTCAGAGAGATTCGAGATGAAGAGTATGAGCCTGTCCAGGAAGGAATGCAGTAGATGCCACTGCATAACAGCAGCAGTCACTCTGCTTTTGACTACGGAAAAAATAGTCCATGCTGCTGGAGTTAAAACCGGGATCATGATGCACGTGCATAGTAGGAACAAATTACAGCAGAGCAAACTACCTTAATTCTGACATGTTTTCCTAACTTTTGAGTGCTTGACCTTGCAACTTTAATGTTCTTTTGAGGAGGATTTGTAGGTTGTTTCGGTTTGTCATACATAATAATAAAAACTCAGTATATGCAGTGCAATGAGTTCCTTAGTAATGCACTGTATTTAATCTCTCTCCTGAATGAACTATGCTTCTCTGCATTTATGATGATCTGACAAGGACTGGTTTTACTTACCTTTACTTTTATAAAATGTTTGCCAATAATTTATTCCACCTGTGGAACGCATTTAATCCATACCGTCATTAAACCATTTTAGATGAGCTGTGCTTTTGAAAACATATTACAATTTTCTTCCACCTGACTTCTAATGAAAAATACCTTTTTAATAAAGCTGCTCACCACAGTAATTCTAGACAGTGGCAAATCTTAAATTTCTCAGGCTGCTTTAATCAATAAAGTTATCACCAGTCGTTTCCCTTGATAACTGCTTCTTACTGAGACCCTGACTTTGCCTTCTGCTGCTGTGAGACGTTTTCAACCTGCACTTAGAATAGGAGGAACTCCCCAAAGTCCAATTTTCATTTTAACCTTTCCTCAATGGCCTAGAAATAACAGATTGCCAGTATTACTTTAATAGATTGGAAATTTAAACCTCTTAGAGGTAACCAGACCTATCTTATGATTCAGTAATATGACAAAGAATAACACATCTTAAAGGTTACTGAAATGCCTAATTCATATGTTTTAAGGCAGCTGTAACAGTGGATGATTTTTACAGCTTTACAATAAAACCTAAATAATGTTAAGGTTCCGGTAGTTTTATATAATCATAAAAAGTTCTCTCTGTAGCAAATTGTCCTGCTTTAATGGGAGTTATGGCAGGTCATACTGGAGTGCATAAACTACTGGTAGTTAACCAATTCCCATTTCTGCCACCTGCAAGTCTCAGGTGGGAGTTAGTGGCGCGTGAGAGCAGAGGGAGGTCACCCCGAGAGTGGCACAGAGGACCTGCCGCCGTGCCGCCATCCCCCCTGGCTCACCGGCCACAGTGGGGAAAGATTTTCCATCTCGGAAAGAAGAGTGGAGTGGCCGAGTGACATTTCGAGCTTCGAGTCCTGCTGCAAGCTTATTGAAACCTGGCTGCTTTGGAAGTCTGCCCTGGAGGTTTAATGTATTTCTTTGTTTCACCTGCCTTGTTGTACAGTTTCTCCCAGGTCAGAGGCCACGTGCGATGCCCTTTGCATGTTTGATGTTTGCACAGCTAGTAGTTCCAAGATGGGAACATAATTAACAGTAATATGGAATCCTCAAGCCTAGGAGATTACCGGTTGAGCCAAGGAGAATATGGAGAAAAGTAAATACGTTGTATTTCTTGTGCAAAGGGGTTAATACATTAATAAAAATTTTGTGTGTAAGCTTCATTTCCTTACGTCCCTGGCACATTTAGCTTGATTAAGGTTATTAAGCCCACAGCAAAAATCTGCTTAGGCATAAATATGTTTGACTCTAGAAATGTTAGCTGGGTTAAATATCCTGTTGAAGTTTGCACACTTCCTTGTGTGCATTTCTTCATTTGCATCCTCCATAGACTTCAGGCTCCAAAATACCGTACGAGCTTGTCCTAGTAAAACATCTTATGTTTGCAACACAAGCATGACTGGGTAATACAGAATATTGTCTTTCTGACCTCATTCATTGTCTTACTCCCTAATTCCTTTTCTGATCAAATATTTTTCTGTGATTTTAGTGAATACTTAAACTCTGCAGACAAAAATTACCTGAGGTTCCCATTCGCCACCCTACCAGCATCTCTGAAGGCTTGTTAGTATTGGCTGCTTCTGTGGGTAAGAGGAGTCAGTCACCACCTCCATTCAGCTTTGGGTCCGTGGCCCAGACACCACCAGTAAAATTGCTGACCATGATGGTGATTTCTGTGCCACAGACGTTTTCCCAGGACGGGATAACATTGCACCTTCCCACCCCCAGATTCTTGGAGGTCGTGCTCACCTCCTCCATTATCGCTGCCAATCTGGGTTGAGTTTGATGGGGACCCTTCAAGAGCAGTGGCTTCCCTCAGCTTTGGCACACGTGTGCTTTATGTACTGCATGCGTACAACCACACGTGCCATCTCTCACCAGCTGTACAGTTTAGGAAAATACAAATTCCGCCCATTTTAATTCTTTGATGATTTGTCTTGAAACCAGAGAGACTGTCTCACTGCGTTTTGCCATTCTTTTTAGTGAATTTCTAACCGGTCTAAAAGAAGTAAGTTCTGCAGAATAATTGAACAGATTAATGGTGTGATCCCTGTGTAAAATGTGAACACGAATGGGGATCTTTTAATTCTTGCTTTCAGTGGGTATGTGACCTTTTGGTTTTATATCTTTCTCTCTCTTCTTACCATATTGCAGTCAGAGAGGAAGTTAAACCCAGGTTTGACAGGTAGAGTTTTTTTATTTCCCTTGACAGTGCACCTTTTGACCTCTATCTTCTTGGCAATGATTTTTTAAATCCTAAATGATTTGGGAATAATTGCTCCTCCTTTAGTGATTATTGCCCTTCACTGATAGTAAATCTGTGAAATCCCTGGGGGCTGGAGTACGTTTTTGTATGCGTATGCCACAAGCTGGCCTGGACAGGCATCGCTGCTCATCTGCAGCTGCACTTGCAGAGCTGCCGGAGTCTTGCAGGAAAACTTGCCTGGACGGGGTAAAACAGCCCCGGCAAGCAAGCGAGTGCTTGGTGGGCGGCCCCGCTCTGCCCTTTCCCATTTTCAGAGGAAATTAATTCTTAGGGTTTTGAGAACCCAGGGCTGAAGTTGTCTTTACTTCAGAAGTCTCATCCTGAACTTCTGGGTTCGGGCTGAGCAAGGACATGCAGGTGGCGGAGGGCAGGTCCGCTCCTGTGGTCCCCCCTGCGGACTCTCTGGGTCCCCCCTGCAGCCGTTCCCTGTCCCCCTCGGGGAGGTGCTGGAAGGAATTTTATAAGAAGAGGGGATTATAAACTATTAAGGCCAGTGGTTGGGAATGATTAAATATCTCAAAACAGCTTGCGGGGAGAAATTGGTAATGGTGGTTGGCTGGGAGCAGTGTTACAGCTCTGCAGGTAACAGTGGGATTAATCTGTTTTCCTCATCTGTGCATACATGCTTTATTTATTAATTACTTAAAGTTAACCCATCGTTTTCTCCCCATTTCATGCTGGATTGCTTACTTGGAGGAGTGGTAAGGAAAGGTGAACTATCTACAGGGGAAGGCATCTTATTAGGAACACACATGTTGCCATGAGCAGAGCGGATGAGGAAAATGGTCTGATAATGAAAGGATGAAAAAGACTGAGCCCTCCTTCGCCCAGTGGCTTTGAAGCGGTTTGTGAGCAGGCAGCTGGAAAGGCAGAGCTACCCGTCCCAAAGCCCGCTGCTGCTCCTTCCCCTGGGCATATTTTCCCCGGCTCTGACCCCTTTGCCACAAGCCCTTCTGTCTCTCTGCTCCTTAACGGAGCTCTCAAAGCCTGGCCACAGCCGTGACTCTTGTGGGCAGAATGAAGCAAGGGTGGGCATGTATAAACTGTTTCAAAATAAACTATTTCCATTGTGGGACCAGACAAATGAGCCTTGACTTGAGGGGGCGTCCTATTACGTCCTGTCACCTGCAGCATGATGGTTGTCCCTCCTCTGAACGGTATTTTAAAACAGCATGGAGGATAGATTGGGCTGGTCACTACTATACATAATCTTGCACACTGCACCTGATGGGTTTCTCAAAAGACGATTTAGTTTTTATCAGCTGAAGTTGTTCCAGATACACGTGTTTGTAGCTCAGTTTGGTTCATGAATGCTCTCAGAAAATCTTCTGTTCAGCTGGGGCTTCAGGTGTATCCCGAGGTTTCCTTTACATGCTGTGTAAAGTGGGAGAAGATTCTGTTGTAATTAGATGATTAATAAAAATAGCTCCAGAGCTTTAATATTTTTAGACTTCTTCTATATGTATGGTTTAGTCCTGCCCAGCAGGCTGCTTACGGAGAGGGAACTGAAGTGTGGGTGACACAGAAGATGAACTGGCTCTTGTAGGGTTGCATGCTATGTAAAAAAGAGGTGCTCCCACGTGAAAGCAAAGGAAGAAGAGGACTTTATATTAGGCAGAACTGGTAACTGGAACGGCGCCTGCAACACAGACTTTCTCTACGTTTTTGTCCTTAAAGCTGCAGCCAGCTGTATGAAAAGACTCAGCATTCCTTTTAGGTTGCTGCTTCTGGAGAAGCTGGTCCCTGCTTCTGCTGCGCACGCCTCGTTCCCATGACCTCTCTGACAAGGGCCTATTTATCAGTTCTCTGCAGATGGAAGGGTGCTGGGTTGGCTTTCTCCGCGTGCCCAGCGGAGTCCCCCTTGGCCCTGCTGTCTGTAACCCAGCTGCCATCGAGGCAACCCTGGTCCCTTCTGTGCCTTTTAACCTCCCAAGCCCCATTCAAGGGCAAGTGTTGGGTGCTGCACCTGGGGAGGTCGAACCCCACGCACCAGTCCAGGCTGGGGGCTGACCTGCTGGAAAGCAGCTCTGCTGAGAGGGACCTGAGAGTCCTGGTGGATGACAAGCTGACCATGAGCCAGCAGTGTGCCCTTGTTGCCAAGAAGGCCAGTGGCATCCTGGGGTGCATTAAGAGGAGCGTGTCCAGCAGGTGGACGGAGGTTCTCCTCCCCCTCTACTCTGCCCTGGTGAGACCCCACCTGGAGTACTGTGTCCAGTTCTGGGCTCCCCAGTTCAAGAAGGATGAGGAACTCCTAGAGAGAGTCCAGAGGAGAGCAACAAGGATGATAAAGGGACTGGAGCATCTCTGCTATGAGAAAAGGCTGAGGGAGCTGGGCTTGTTCAGCCTGAAGAAGAGAAGACTGAGAGGGGACCTCATCAACACATACAAATATCTTAAGGGTAGAAGTCACGAGGACAGAGCCAGACTCTTTGCAGTGGTGTCCAGCGACAGGACAAGGGACAATGGGTACAAACTGAGACAGAAGAGGTTCCAGTTGAATATGAGGAAAAACTTCTTGACTTTGAGGGTGACAGAGCACTGGCCCAGGCTGCCCAGGGGGATTGTGGAGTCTCCTTCTCTGGAGATATTCAAAGCCTGCCTGGATGAAGTCCTGTGTACCATGCTCTAGGAGAACCTGCTTGAGCAGGGGGGGTGGACTAGATGATGTCCCGAGGTCTCTTCCAACCCTTGCCATTCTGTGATTCTGTGATATGTGGGACAAGGGACCATCGTGACAGACCCTAGGAAAATCTCCAACCACACAAAATATAAGGGCAATTTCTTTAGTAAGAAAAGCAGCACTTGGCATAGTGACCCCGTGTATCTGATGTGCAGGTATGAAAATAATCAAGGGTAGTTGGAAGGAATGGGAATTCAGGCAGGAATTTCTAGAGTTGCAAGGTGCCGTTGTCGTGAAAGCCTGGCAGTTAGGTTTATGGAGCAGGAGGCTAAGTCAACAAGACAAAGATCAAGTGGCTGAAGATGCAACTAATTAATGTATATTAGATAAAATTCAACTTTGATACAGAAGGTGCAAAAAGATACCTTAAAGTTGGATGGAAAAACTAGATTACATATTTTCAAAGCTGGTGTGTTTCCCCATACTTAGGTGCTGCCTCCGTTCTCTTCAGAGTAATCCAGAATGCCTTTGGAATGTTGAAAGCTGATTTTTTGCTTATTAATTGAAGATTACTGTTTTGAGTATATGCTGGGTTTTGTTGAAACTATAAAATGAGCCCCCCCGACCACGTTTAAATTTGAAGAATAAAATAAATGTGGTAATTTTTAATGCAGGATGCTAATAAGCACTTGAAATTTTGAAGACCTGGTTGTTAATGCGAAAGACACTTTGGTTGACACACTTCAATTTAACAAGATCTTTACCAAAGAGAGGAACTCTGAAGCGCACACGTGTGCTACGTGTTTTCATCAGACACTGAGCCAAATCGTAGCACAGCCAGAAGGGCTTTTCTCAGTTGCATTTTTTTGATAATCTACTCAATTAAGTTTATTATTATTTGCGTAGACCTAAGCTGACTGTAATGCAAACCACGCTAGGCCTGTACATATCACATCACATTGTGCAAAAGTAAGTAAACCAGATTTTACAGTGATTTTCCAAATTTCTGTATCAACCTGGGGGATCAAGCTCTGTGAAGTTAGACATCTCAGTGATCGCAAGCTTAAGCTTTGGACTGGCTTTTAGAATACTGATTTTAAGGAAATGTTTAAAAAGTGAAGCTGCTTGGAGCATAACGTAAATGCATCATGAGGAACAGAATAGGACTAGCTTCATAAAATTCAGCATCTTCTTTGAAGTGTGCCAAATCACTTTGATTTTTGTGATTGATTACAAATTGTACAGATGTGTGCTGCACGAGTACATTGCTTGAGGAGCTATAGCATGAATTATATTCAAGGTAGGATGACTTCTAATCAATACGATGACAATATTATCTTGTTTAATTTGTCTGATGGCAGTATTAAACATCAAATCAAGCTGTTTGTTATGTCAAAGGAGTGTGACGTATGACAGAAATAAAATCCACTTGACGCTGGTTTTTCTGTATTTCATTGCTTTGACAGGCCATCATGATTGGAGATGATATTGTGAATGATGTAGGAGGTGCCCAGCGGTGCGGGATGAGAGCTGTGCAAGTGCGGACAGGGAAGTACAGGTCAGTGCACACGCGACACCCTCTGCTCCATGGGGGCAATCATGGAAAAAGGGGAAATAAATGTAAGTAATGATTTTTGTGTTTACCTTTCTGCCAAACGACACTGTGCTGTAATTTTCTTACAACACATTAATTTCTGAAAGAAAAGGAGTTACGGTTTGGAACCTGGTACACATTCAAAGTGAGTGCGCAAGAGCAGATTTTTTCCATGCCTTTTCCAGTTCTTTTCCCGTTGGTGGCACAAATTTGCCATCAAGGTGCACTTCCACTTGTTGTCTGAACATGGGTAATGGCATTTGTGTTTGCAAAATGCATTTTGGGAAAACACTGTGTGTATGAAAGTGGCAGGAAGGAGCAGACATAATGTCTTTGATCTTTTAAAGAAATATTTTCCGTTAAATTACTGCTACAATTTTTTCATCGCGGTGCATAGAACTGGTGTGTATCTTGTGTTTTGCGTGTGGGTTTTTTTGCTGCTGAGTGAAAGCGTTGTACACTTGATAAAAGACGCGTCTGAAACTTCTAGCGGGGTTAAGATTATAAAATTAGACTGTCGACTCAGAGATCTCTGCGGGTCATATCTCACAGCTTTATGAAGGACTCCATATGTCTGCTGTTTCCTCCAGACATGTATTCAGCACTGAGATGTCTGGAATGTGAGAGCTGTTGCTCCACTTCCCGTCTTACCAGAGTGCAGGCTTCTGCAGGCTCGCTCACCTCTTTCAAATGACCCCTCAAGCCCTTCTCCATGCCGGTGGCTCCGTGTTCCTGAGCTGTCACTGACCCAAGAGCTACCTCCCAGCAGCTGCTGGTGGGAGACCTGAGTGCACTCATAAACAGGGCATGGCCCAGCATTGACTGGTGGCAAGTGAAGCCATCATCTGATGCTCGGGCCAGATTAGGTTTGAGGTCAGCTCAAGGTGACTCTCCAAATGCAGTGAAGACATTGGTCCTTACATCTAATGATATAACATTTGGGTTCCATAACACGCAAAATCTCCTCTTAACCATCTCCTCTTGACCATAACCATGCCTCTTTATAGGAGGCATGGTTCAGTAACAGCATCTGTCATTTGATGTAATTTATATTTTTAGAGTTTTTCTTGATCTTCAAATACTGAGACTGTAAAAGAGAGGTTGTCTTTTTGGGAGGGATGCAACAAGCGAGAATGGTGCTTGCCATGGGCTATCTGAAAAGTTACTTTGTTAGTTTTCAAGTCAATCTCTTTCTCAATTTTCCTTTTAGTTTGTGTAAGGTGATAAAATAATACCCAGTGCCTTGGTTCTAATGGACCAGTAAGTGAAGATGTCTGAGAAAAAGAGAGACAGATGCAAGTATTGTAGTTAGGTATTTTTGCATCTTTGAGATGGTACATCTCAAAATGACTTATCTACCTGAATAAAGCTCAAAAATCAAGATTAAAAAAGTAAGTATATAGTTTGTGCTGTTGGGATTATTTGTCTGTAATCTGTGTAATCCCATTAATTTCCTAAAGGATTCAGCAGTTGATTTTACTCCGATATTAATGGGATCGCTTTGTGAATCCACATCTTAATGCCACACAGACACGGGTGTCAGTGGAGGAGGTATCCCTGCCCACAGAGGTGAATTAGAGCTTTGCTACTGAACAACTATCTCCTGTGACATGCTTTGCCCATAAGATATGCCACAGGTGATGCTGCATCCAAACTGTTCAGGCAACTGACATAAACTGTATACACACACACATATAAATATGTATAATTATATGCTGGAAACACATCTTCTTGTGTCAAGTCTGAGTCATGATTTCACAGCTGAAAGAGAGTCATCAGCTGTTTGAGATGGGGAAAAAAGATTGTTTTCCACTGCCGCGTTTCCTGTTTCAGAGTGCAGTTGCTGTTACCTGAAATCATGTACTGTTGTATGGTAATGAAATACAGGTGAGTGTCTCTCGAAGTTGAGCACGTGGTCCTGTTTTTAGCAATTGTGGGTAAAATGAAATAGCTCTTGTTTGCCAACAGGGACCAGAGATGTGTGTGTGGTGTGTGTATATACATATAAAAGAATGATAGTATACGTGGAAAATGAAAACACAGTGTTTCCAGAAACAGAAAAAACCCAAGTGAATGAAAGCTGATGGGCAAAATAAATGAAAAATAACAGAAAATGTAATTATTTCATAGCTGGTTTAAAGTCTGATTATATATATAAAGTTTTGCATAGGTCCTCTTTCACTTACGTGGTAGCTCTTGTTGACCCAGAGCTGTGTGCTACACCCGAGCGCCTCTGGATGGCACCGTTACTACATTTACTTCGGTATTGGCCACAGCTTCGGGACCTCCCCAGAAAGCTAAGGCTGCTTTTGCAAAGAAATGCAAAGCAGAGAGGCGTCAGGGTTTTGTTGTAGGCGCTGAGGGTTGGTGCGATGGCATTTCCACAGATTTCAGCTCTGAGAGTCTTGCGGCCTGGGACATGGGTTATCACCCCGGTTGAGTTGTCTCTGTGTTTCTACAGCTGTGAGTATTTTTTTCCATTTCCACCACAACAATGGTGCCTCACTTCAGCAAAACGGACACAGAGCTGATTTGAAAATAAAATAAAAAACAACCGAGGAACTATCCTGAGGAGTTGTTGCAGATGCATTTCACAGCATACTGCTGGATACGTGGAAATGACATTATTTGCAGAAGTTATCCCAGTGAAGGCATTTTGCATGTTGTTTTGTAGGTCCAGAGGATCCTGTTGTACCCCCTGGTCTCACCTAAATGCTGTCCCCGACTGGGAGATATTGTCACCTCTGGAGCACAGCTATGCATTGGGGCAGCTCTCATTTCAGGGGTCAATGCAGCTTACGTGAAAATCTTTCAAGTCTGCTGCCCGCCACGTGCCACCGAGGGTTACGCACCGTAGCATAGAAGACGATACGTGAGCCAAGGTTTACTGCACTGTTTATTGTATTTCAGAGGGACTTCAGCGATTGCATGCAGATCACAGGCTGCAAGGCAGCTCGGTGCACTTTACTTGCTTTAGTAAGCTAGAAGAAAAAGTCCCCTTTGGCCCCAAAAGCCTTTTATGGAAAGAATCGGTTGATCTGCTGATGCGGAGGTTTCATCAGTAGATAGGGGTGGACAGGTCTTCCGTGGGGCTGGCAGCCTCCAGCCGGGTACAGGAAGCTGACTGCAGCCTGCAGTGTCGCGGGAGCCCTTCTCTGTGCTGCTGTTTGTGCCGCGTTGCGCAGCGACGGTGGCGGCGGGTGCCAGCTCCCCACAGAGCTGGGGAACTGGTTTTGTAGGCGCAGGGTGCGGATGATTGGCTTGGCAGGCGGGTCGAGGTCCAGAGGAGAAGCAGAAGGGGCGTACATGGAGAGGTGGCATAGCCCCACGGCTGCCTCCCTGCCTGGGCTCTCACCCTCCTGGCCTCTGCAAGGTCTTCTTCTGTGTTGGCTACTCCCAGGGCAAGATTCAAAGTGCAGATTAAGCTGCTGCAAAAACAGTTTTACACCACCTTGGGTCCTGAAAATTAGCTCCTCTGTCTCGCTTCTTTTGGATCTTTAAAGTTTAGCAAAATTTGGGCAGCTGATTTCCTTTAGTATGAGCAGCTTTGCATGTTCCTCATGCCTGCATCTATGTTTATCTTCTCCTCTAAAGCACTTAATCCTCAAGCAGGACTTAATCTCAAGTGTTGAGCTCTTTAGATTAGATATAAGGAAGGAATTCTTCACTCTGAGGGTGGTGAGGCACTGGAACAGGTTGCCCAGAGAAGTTCTGGATGCCCCATCCCTGGAAGTGTTAGGGCTAGGTTGGATGGGGGGCTTTGAGCAACCTGCTCTAGTGGAAGGTGTCCCTGCCCATGGAGGAAGGGGTGGAACTAGGTGATCTTCAAGATCCCTTACAACCCAAACCATCCTATGATTCTGATTCTCAGTAGCTAAACCAGATGTGGCATAGATTATTCCATGAAACGGAATCCTAGCTGCAACGTGGAATAAAATTTCTGTTGGCGCGAGTCAGGGCAGTAATGGAAAGGTGTAGGGATAAGATGGTGTTTTGAGTTGACCTCATCCAGCACCATTCTCTTGACACGGGCTGAGTAGTTGGGATGACTAAGTATAGCTTTTCTTAGGTGTAAAATCCAAACGCAGAGGGTCGGTCTGGTCTGCAGGTTTGTCCACTCTCAGTTTGTCCCATCTACAGGACAGATCAGGTCATTGCTGCAGACTCTTGTGTGTTGAGAGAAGAAGCTGGTAGGTTTTTCAGCATTGGGAAATCTGACGCTAATTACAAAGTTTCTGTGCACACCTGTGTGGAGGCCCTTCATAGCCAACATCTTTCCCATCTAGGGAAGAAAATGTGCTTGTCTTTCCGCACAGGGTATGTGCTAATTCCACTTGCAGCTAATTGGCCTTGACATCAAACCAATAATTTCCACAGTAACTATTGATTCTGCGATGCTGCGTAATATCCTCGTTCCTCTTTGTAGTGTGCAAGTTGGAGCAGAGAAACATTACTTTGAGGCTTTTCCAACTGTCTCCCTGTAAAATCGGAAACAGCTTTCAGGTGCGTCAGTGCATCAAATTGCAGGTGGTTCTTGGCAGGGTGGAAGAATTACCCCTTTCTCCTTGTTGTTATTTACAGGTCTTGATTTGTAAGTAAAGAACTTTGCATTGCGGCAATAGCCAGGAATATTCATGGCAGTGGTACCCGCCGCCCCTGCTCGCCCGTGGGCTCCGAAACGGCATCAGAGTCTGGCAGTATGGGTTCCTCCCCTCTCAGTGCCCACGTGAGGTTTTCTTCGTTTAATTAGGGATTTATCTCAAGGCTATGGCTGATACTGCAACATCCCTGAGCTGCCTTGTTATGGACATAAAGGACACCCCAGGGATGGAGGATACAAGGCTCGAGACCCGTGAGAGCTGCCGTCTCTCCAGCTCTGCCACTGTTCACTGGGAGAACTGGGTCGAGTTACTTCACGTTGCCCTTCTTCAGTTTCCCCGCTTTATAATTATCCGCTGAGAATA